ATGACTTAAAAGGAGGAAAGCAAGAAAAAAGTACAAGCAGCAAAGTAAAAGCGAGAAAAGCAAGCGAAGAACCCGCCATCAATAGGGTGACATCGAATGATACGTAAGGGAACGTAAATGCCCACTTGCGCAACCTTCGAAAATGTGGTGTACATCGAACTGACTCCTCGCACTAATAGTGTTGTGCAAATCAGAATTGAAATGTACATAGTAGAGTTAAGCTTGGCCTATGGGGACATTCCAGTAACATTACTGACATCGAATCTCAGCCACCGATTGTTCGGACGATATCAGTATCCATGGTATTTTGCTCTCAATATCTATGTTTTTTGGCATATATTTTTAGTTTAGTGTAATTATTATTAAAATAGAAGTAGAGGATTAACGTATTGTGCTCATATATTGGTGCGTATTGTTGTCAAACGATCGCTTGAGCAACACTTCCACTTTTTAGTGAACTGGAAATTTGCATTTTTTACTTTTTCAAAAAGCGAACATTTACGGCAAAAACGATCAGGCAAAAAACTGGTAATCATGTGTTTTTTGCATCTTCTTAATGCGTTATGCGTTTTTGCATCATCTTCTTAATCGACGCCTTCCCTCCTGCATGCCGAAAGGAACTAAAGCACGGCCAGTAAGAGTCCAAGTGTTAGGCTACAGCGCAAGGGTCATTCTTGCTATTAGCGACCTGCGAGTTTAGTGCAAAAACGCATGACCGCACCGGCAAGCCTGGTGCGTTCCAGCCTGGGTTTTTTTTTGGAAATAAAATACCTTGCGTGCGGACATGAAAATACTCAGTTTTATTGCAAACACAAAAGCAAGTGCATTTCGCGGATTCCGACATCCTCTTCCGACATCTTAATGTATTGTCAAATTTGCATTTTTCGATGAACGTCCGTTCACTGGAAAAGCGACCAGGCTTCATGCACAGTTGATAATTATGGACACTGGAAATTGGCGCGGCTCTATAATGCAACACTTCCTTCCCTACCAACGTCCTTTCCCCTTCACTAAGAGAAGGCCAAAACACAGCCTATATGAGTCCATTTGTTAACTATTAGCGTTAACTATTAGCGAAGAAGTAATAGAGGATGATGAGTTCTGGATTCCGCATTCATTGGCTTTAAATGAGGATATGAATTTGATTTATGTGGCCGGTCGAGAAAACGAACGAATCCAGTGCTTTAGTGCCGGCTTCACTTATAAATCTGATGCTTAGATGAATAAAGGTGAAGCTGATGATTAGGTAAAACTGAGAGCTCTCTGCTTTACCTAAGCATCAGCAATTTGTTCCTCAGCTTTGTCTAAGCATTAGCTTCATAAATGGGAAAGTCCTTTGCTGGTAACGGGTTTTTCGTTTGCTTTAAGCTGCCGTACTTATGAAGCTGATGCTTAGGAAAATCATCCGTATTTATGAAGCTGATGCTTGGTTAAAGCTGAGAGCTCTGAGCGTTACCTAAGAGCTCTGAGCGTTACCTAAGCATCAGGTTTGTAGATGGGGATGTCCCTTACTGATGATGGAGCTTTTTCTGCTTTTGCTTTCTTCCTTGCTTGTATTTTTTTCTTGCTGTCCTTCTTTCCAGCCAGCACCCCCTCTCCTCTCTCTTACGTGGCCTAGGCAATAGCCAAAGGATCTATTTCATGTAGCCGTTCAGTGTACCTGCCCAACCCTCTCCCCTGCCTCGAATCCTTGCGCGCGATATTCGCGCACACGACCCCTCACCCTCATCCCCATCGCAACTTCCTCCTCGCGTCTCGAATCCAGCACACAAAAGTGTGCTTTTGCATTGCCAACCCTCTTCTCTCCACCTCCCCTTTTATTCCCTGTGCAGCGTACCCCCCC